GTGAGCGATGATAGGGGCCCGAGTATTTCGAGACAATTTTATAATTTTCTTTGGGATATTGTCCCACCCGGTAGCGCAGTCACTTCGTAGCCTTTCTATCAGTGCTTTCACAGTACCCGTATCAACAAAGGGAACACCCAGAGAGCCACAAGGAGGTGAAAGAGAAAGAGAGCTATTGGGTATATTGGAAGGTGTAAATTTTGATGCAAGTGTCATACCAATAGATGCAAAGTCTTTGTTTATATTATTAAGACATGTAGCAGGGTTGTCAGTTGATGGTTTGAGTAGCGCATTAGGGGATTGTCTTTGCCGGTTGCTATTTGTGATGGACTTGATTGCTTGCCACGTGGCCCTTGGATTGTTTTTGGCTTTTCAATCAATTCAGCTTTTTGGTAAGCCCGTTTTAACATTTTAACCAAACCATTGCAGTAGTTACGATAGCGCTTATATGTTGTTTTTAGAATAGCGTCATCGAGTGATAATCTAACCTGACGATGCATTTTGTCACGATTACGGAGGCATTGAACTAATCCCGCTGTCATCCAGGGTTTAATTATAGTGTTGCGGTTGGAATGGCATATATTTTTAGTATGTTTTGAAATCACTGTCTGTATCCCCGAGATTAAAAGATTAGTTGCCAAGTTTGGATCTAAAGTGTTAAGTACGTAATTGAAATCGTGTGCATTTGCATTGTAGTCATTTGCGTGTCGATAATTATTACCTGGCTTAATATCGATGTTAAGGTCACCTATGAGCATAACATTATTGTAAGATTTCAAAGATGTGACTACTTTACTTAGGCTGGTGTAGAAGTTGGTGGGGTTTGAATAGGACGGGGATCGATAAATTCCGACTATCATTGTAGCAGAAGACTAGACAGTTGGCGTCAGTTATCTCTGGCTCTTGTATGGAACTACATAGAGTGGTTTTGGCGTATATTAATACACCATCATTTTGTTTTGGGTTGTTTATGGTTTTATATGCAGTATAGCCCTCCAAAACGGGAATGTTACCAACTGTTTGCAGCCAACATTCCGTGAGGATTAAAAGATAGAATTTTATCTTTGTTGTAGTTAACATAGCAGTGAATTGGTCTAGGTTCTTTTTGATTCTCCTGATATTGGTGTGTATAATCTTAATTTCATTATCGCAAAGTCCTGTGAAATTCTGACATTGTTCCGGTGTATTATTTGGTGTATGGTGTATTATTTGCTTTGTAATTTTGTGCTACTTGTGTTAACATTTAAGTATGGTTATATTTACAGTTGGCTGGCTATATTTACAAACTGTGTGTTCCAGCCAAAACAGAAGTATTTGGGCACCTAAACTTATAGCAAACTGTCATGATTGTCTACATAAGACTAATTACGTTAATTTGACTATTCCTTGTAATTGTGACAGCATAGAAAACGTTGAGAAACAACGTTTTCTATGGTGTCAAGCTGTATGCAAGGATGAAGTGAAAGAAAAATTTTGGGCCTATTTTGACATGATTTTGATAGGTATCCCTGAAAGTGAAGAACTTTTGATAGGTGGAGATTTTAATGGTCATGTGGGAACAACGAATGAGGATTATGAAAGAGTACATGGAGGAAGGGGGTTCGGAAGTAGAAACATTGATGGTGAGTCTCTGCTCCAGTTTTCCTCTTCGTTTGACCTGGCAATAGTTAACACATGGTTCCAAAAACGTCACGAACATCTGATCACGTATAAAAGTGGTAGCCACGCGACACAGATTGACTACTTTCTCATAAAAAGAAGTAAGTTGGTTTGTGTCCGAGACTGCAAAGTGGTGCCCGGGGAACCCGTAGTATCGCAACATAGATTGCTGATAATGGAGGTCAAATGGAAGAGTTTGAGTAAGAGTAGGAAGAACCGACCTTCTCCAAGAATCAGGTGGCGAATGTTAGAGAAAGAAGATATGCAAGTAACTTTAAGGTAAAGGTGGTAGAAAAAATAATTGAAATGAATGCAAGACTAGATAAGTCTGTGGATGGATGGTGGAGTGAAATGGCAAATTATATACGAAAGATAGCGAGAGAAGTACTTGGGGAAACAAAAGGAAAAGGCATTATTGAAAGAGATACATGGTGGTGGAGTGATGAGGTACAGAAAGCTCTAAAAGAGAAGAAGGATGCCTTTAAAGCGTGGAAAAATGAAAAGGTCTGTGAGAGAATTAAGGAAGTCAAAATGAATGAATATAAAGAGTGGAAGAAAAAGGCAAAAAAAGCGGTAGCGGTAGCCAGAGCTGAAGCTCAATATAAAATATTTAAACACCTACATGAACATAGAGGTCAAAAAGAACTCTACCGCATTACAAAGAACAGGGAAGAAAGAGCAAAAGACCTAAAGCATGTGAGATGTATAAAAGATGAAGAGGGGAGAGTGTTGGTTAAAGATGAAGATATAAAAAAGCGATGGAAAACTTACTTTGAAAAACTTATGAATGAAGAGAATAAATGGAGCGGAGTGCTAAAGCATGTGGATGTGAATGTCGGACTGGTGAACGAGATTAGTATAGATGAAGTTAGATTGGCAGTACGAAGTATGAAAAATGGAAAAGCAGTTGGCCCCGACGGTATTCCAGTGGAAGTTTGGAAGCTACTGAAAGAAGACGGATATGAGTGGCTGACTCTATTCTTCAATATGTTGTTGCTTGAAGAGGTAATCCCAAAGGAATGGTGTCAAACCCAACTCGTACCCATTTTCAAAAATAAAGGAGATGCTCAGGAATGCAACAACTATCGAGGAACATGTCACATACTATGAAAGTCTGGGAGAAAGTGATTGAGAGAAGAATAAGAGATGAGAGTCAGATAACCCAAAGTCAATTTGGGTTTATGACAGGACGCGGGACAACAGAAGCTATATTTGCAATGCGCCAACTATGTGAGAAATACAGGAGTGCGCACAAAAACTTGCATATAGTGTTTGTGGATCTCGAAAAGGCATATGATAGGGTACCCCGAGAGGTTTTGTGGTGGGCTTTGAAAGAAGAAAGAGTGCCTATAAAGTATTTAGAATTGATTCGTGCTATGTACAGAGAGTCTAGCACTCATGTAAGGTCGGTCACGGGAAACACTGATCAATTCAGTGTCTCTGTAGGCTTGCACCAGGGATCAGCTCTGAGCCCATACCTCTTCCTGTTGATAATGGATGCTCTGACATCGGACATACAGGAGGAGGCACCTTGGTGCATGCTATTTGCAGATGACATTGTGTTGGTCGCTGAAGATGGGGTTGAGGTCCAGAGCAGACTGGAAAAATGGCAGCAAAGGCTGGAGAATGTTGGCTTGAAAATCAGCAGAACCAAAATTGAGTACATGTTCTGCGATTTCGGCGGTCTCTCCAGTCCTGAAACCATTTATCTGGATGGAATAGCGACAACAGTCTGCTCCAATTTCAAGTACCTCGGCTCCCTTTTACAATGTGATGGTGAGATTGATCGAACTGGACAGCATCGAATCAATACGGGATGGATGAAGTGGCGGCAGGTAACGGGAACAACTTGTGACCCCAGTTTCCCCTTAACACTTAAGGGGCAAATTTATAAAACTATTATTAGACCTGCTGTCCTGTATGGCTCTGAAAGTTGGCCCATTAAGAGAACGGATGAGAGACGCCTGAACGTAGCCAAAATGCGAATGCTGAGATGGATGTGTGGTGTAACTCTGATGGACAAGGTTAGGAATGAGTATATACGAGGGAGTCTGAAAGTAGCGCCACTGGATGAAAAGTTAAGAAGTAATAGGTTATCTTGGTATGGACATGTCATGCGGAGGGATGAGGAAAATGTGGCGAAGAAAGTTTTAGGTATGAGAGTTGAAGGGTACAAGAGAAGAGGCAGACCGAAGAAGAGGTGGATGGACTGCGTCAGTGAGCATATGGCCAGAAAGGGAGTAAACAGTGAGATGACGCATGACAGAGTAGAATGGAAAAATCATACATACTGCGCCGACCCCAAATAAAATTGGGAAAAGGGTAGGCAGATGATGAGAAAACGTTGAGAAACAAACCTATCTCAGACTAATTATCGACAACCGCCTAAATTGGAAACAACATAAATCAAGTCTGCAATAAACTAAGAACTATTCTCGCCAAATTCTCATTAATCAAGCATAACATATCATACAAAACACTTCTCCTACTTTATAAATCTTTGGCAGACTCAATAATTTCGTATGGCCTTTCTAACTACGGCAGGACTTACAAGAGCCACCTTGACCAAATATATGTACTTCAACTTAAAATTTTAAAAGAGATTGTACCACAAAACATAAAAAATAAATTTAAGCACGATCACGAACAACTATTTGATTTCTGCAAAATTATTCCTATACATCAGAAAGTGAAACTAACGTTACTAACCGAGGAGTACTTTAACGTAGATTTTAGATTTGAATTCGTGATTGGTCTGTTCTTATAATCGGCGCCTCTCGTTTTTTCTTGTGCAATTCTTACGGAGAACTCCTCCCAGTGGGCGGCGGAAGCGAGATACTAAATTCAAGAAACACCCTTTTTGTCATCCCGGCCGTCACCGGTAGCTGATAAGTTGGTGAGAATTGCATGATATATTGAATATATAAATACAAATTTGAAAAAGTGTCAGTGAGGGGCGCGAGGATTTGAACCGGCGGTTGCCTTGACTGCAAGCGAGCGCTTTAGCCATCGTACCACCAAGTGCGTGGCGTTGTGCGGCATAATTAACAGTCCCATTCGGCGTGGATCTATTGAGGTACTACTTGCAAAGTGACATCTGTTATTTGTTGCGATAAACACCTCGACGTCCTTCGACGTCGTACCGCCTGGCTCCGGCTTACGTTTAACTTACTACACTGCGCATTTGGTGCACTGAAAACACACAGATGTCGTCGAGGGGCAATACCTGTGCTGGTTGTAGGAGTGCTGTTGATAGTCGAGAGTGTTTGAAATGCTGTAAATGTTGCAAATATTATGACCTTTCTTGCGCGAATATTCTTGACAAGAAAATTTATGCCGGTATGAGCAAGGAGCAGAAAGTCAAGTGGACTTGTCATGAATGTAGGAGTAAACAACCGAAGCTTGGCAACATAAATACACCAGTGCGGAATGTCAAGGAGGGCGAGGCAAACCCATCTAATTTATATGATGAAAACACTGGTTTGGATAACATTACCTTTAGAAAGAAGCAAACGGATGACTGCCAGAAGACACCTGTTTGCAGCCCGGGTTCCGCCAGCTGCGCCACGATTAATAGAGATGACGCATTTATTTCTGCTGTAAGCGATAAAGTTCTCAAAGCGCTTAAGTCCGAGCTTCCTGCAATGATTTCATGTGTTCTGAAAGCTGAACTATCTTCAATTAAGAATGATATATTAGAGTTTCGTCAATCAGTTGACTTTTTGAGCACTATGCATGACGAAATGAAGAACATGGTAGAAACCTTGGTCAAGGACAATGCAACGCTATCTAAGGAAAACACCACCTTAAAAACCACAGTGGCTGAATTATCCGATCGACTGAATAATCTCGAACAACATCTACGGGAAAATAATCTGGAGATACAAGGCTTACCCGAACACCATAATGAAAATCTACCAAGTCTTCTTAATCAATGCTCTAAAGGTCATAGGTTACGACTTGAAGGAGGGTGATGTTGTCAAATGCACTAGAGTTGCAAAATTGAACAAGGTAAGCAAGTTTCCCCGCACTATAATCGTCAAGTTCAGTTGTGTAAGGAAGCGGGATGACTTTTATTCCGCAGTGTACAGATATAATAAATCTAACCCTACTAATAGACTTAATACTGCGTTGCTTGGAATTGCGGGTGAAAGGGTACCGGTGTACGTTTCAGAGCACCTGTCCCCGTCTAATAAATCCCTGCATGCCGCAGCGCGTAAGAAGGCGAAAGAACACGGATATAAGTTTGTTTGGGTGAAGAATGGCCGTATCTTTGTAAGAAAAGCAGTTGACACCAAGTACATATTAATCAAAAGTAAAGAGAGCCTTAGTCTTATATGTTAATCTCCATTTATATTTCTTTTGAGTGGTACTAGTTATTGAACACATATTAACACAATGATGTACTTGTCAATATATTATCAAAACATCAGAGGTATGAAAAGCAAAACCATAGACATATATAATACTGTTTTAAGTAATAACTTTGACATAATTTGCCTTTGTGAGACTTGGCTTGATGAAACGATATTGTCTTCTGAATTGTTTGATGACAGGTATTGTGTGATACGTAGGGATCGAGATGCTAGGTTCCGTGCTCGGTATGGTAAAAGCCACGGTGGGGGTGTACTTGTCGCATATTTAAAGGAACTACAAATTTCAATTAAAAGTGAATGGTTTTCTGAATGCCTCGAGGATCTTTGTATGCAAGTGGGGGTGAGTGGCTCTCACATAATTAATTTGTGTGTTGCTTACCTACCTGACTATTTGCCTGCCGGTGTCGTTTGTGACTATTTCACCAAGTGCTGCACCATATTTAATAGTTCATCGAATCACATGACCTGTGTTTTGGGTGATTACAATCTTGGAGATATCATTTGGTCGAGTGAAACAGGATGCCCGTTAAACTATGAGTGTGAAAAGTCTAAATCATTACATGACCTCTTTCACTCGACAACGATACGGCAGGTCAATTTTATACGAAATCACAATAACCGGATACTTGATTTAGTTTTTACTGATTGCCCGGATTTATTGACTGTGACACCTACACTATCCATTAGTCGCGTTGACTTGCATCATCCGCCATTCGAGCTTGTATTGAGAACTAGTGTCGCTACACTGACACATAACACATCACTTAAAAAATTGTGTTACCGTAAAACAGATTATGAGAGCTGTAAACGGGACCTAGGAATTATTGATTGGGAAAAACATGCGTCGGAACTGGGATGTAATGAATTTGTTCAACTTTTTTACAATAAAATCTACTCAATAATTGAAAAATATACCCCCAAAACTAAAAATCCTAATAATAGGTATCCCAGCTGGTTTTCGAATGATTTAATTAAGTTACTTGCATCCAAAAACAAAGCGCATACTAGGTTCAAGCGTTATAGAAACCCCAGAGATTATGATTTGTTTTCAATGCTAAGGGCCCGAGTTAAGATTGTTGTAAAACAGTGCTTTAAAACGTATATTGAGCGAATTGAATGTGATCTTAGGGTCAATATAAAGGCTTTTTGGCGCTACACAAAAAGCAAGCGTGTCACTAATAGCGTTCCTAGTCGCGTATATTACCAGGATAGGGTTTGTAGCACTGGTAGTGATATTGTCAACCTATTTGCAAGTTATTTTGCATCAGTTTATCGCCCCAGTGCAACTGCAAATTATTGTCCTAACTTTCAAACCTCAAACTATACCATTGGACGTGTGCATATAACCGATAGCGATATATTGCAAAAATTGAAAAACGTGGATTTGACAAAAAAACGCTGGCTTTGACGGCATACCACCCATCTTTATACGGCTGTGCGCGGCTGGTCTTGTAGCTCCGCTATCCATAATATTTGACAAATCTCTTAAGGAGGGAGTATTTCCTGAGTTGTGGAAGATTGCTAAAGTCACTCCTATCTTCAAGTCTGGTGATAAAAGTGACGTTTCTAATTATAGACCAATTTGTGTACTTAACTGGTTTGCTAAAATATTCGAAGGCTTTGTTTATAGACATATATATAATCATTTCTCTCATCTATTGAATCCGCGTCAACATGGGTTTGTCACAGGCAGATCGACTAATTCGAACCTACTATGTTACTCTACTTATATATGTGAATCTTTTAATTGCAAGCAGCAAGTAGACTCTATATATACAGATTTTTCCAAAGCATTTGATTGCGTCGACCATTTTGCTTTGCTCGTGAAGGCCCGACATGTCGGGGTGCATGGAGATCTGCATAGGTGGCTCACATCCTATCTGTTAAACCGAACTCAACTTGTTGCGCTTAGTGGGTACGAGTCTATTCCATTTTTGGCAACTTCGGGGGTCCCCCAAGGCTCGAATTTGGGGCCCCTATTATTCTTGTTATTCGTCAATGACTTACTAAGTAAAATTGACAGTGAATGTTTAGCCTACGCTGACGACATTAAAATTTTCAGACGTATCTCCGATCACCGAGATTCTGAGGCTCTCCAGTCAGATATAAATACTATTGTCAAATGGTGTGACGAGAATCATATGTCGCTAAATATAAAAAAGTGTCAGGTTATATCATTTACAAAAAGCAAAACACCACTCAATTACAACTACAACATCAAGGGCATTTTAATAGATAGGGTCAAGGAAGTTCGAGACTTAGGGGTAATCTTCGACTCAACTATGTCTTTTAGACCACACTATGATCAGGTTTGTAATAAGGCTAACCGCATGTTGTCCTTCGTACTCCGGAATGCAAAACCTTTTAGGCAAGCCAGTTCACTGATAATCCTATACTATGCTTTAGTTAGAAGTATTATTGAGTACTGCGTGCCCGTTTGGGCTCCGATATACAAAAACCATTCAGACCGAATAGAAAGTATACAGAGGCGGTTTGTCAGAGCTCTATGCATGAAATGTGGCTTAAGACGTAAAATACCTGAATACGAGGCACGACTTCGTTACTTTAACATGGTCGGATTGGATAGGAGGAGATGGATGAGCGACATGTCCACTTTGTACAAAATATTGAATGGCTCATTTAATAGTACTCTCTTAAGTCAGCTACACTTCAAGGTACCTACTCGATCTGTGCGTACTCAGCAACTATTTTGTATACCAACATGCAACAATAATGTATTGTGTCTCAAAATAGTCCCCTGTTTCGAATGTGTAGACAATAAAATGATATTTGTTCTGATGTTGATATATTTGTTGGTAGTCACGGCAGATTTATGGAATCTTTGCGGCAATTGGATGCACCTTGACATGTGCGTGTATTGACTGCATGCTTAAATTATTTTTATATTCTTTTAATTTTATGTCTTTGTATTATGCTTGTTTATTTTTGTAACCTCCACTTACTCTGAAGCTGTATAAATCCCGAAAGCCGTGTACGGTAGTAACTGGAGTGCAGATTAAAAAATGTTATTAATATTTATAAGTAAGTTTAAGCACTACCTGGTCTGTATTCTGTAACTGTACCTTTGTAAATAAATAAATAAATAAACTAGATGGCGTTGTGTGTCAGATGTCCGAAATATTATTATTATATATATGATGTACGCATGAAAATTAGCTAAACCTACAACAAGATTACGTTTTTTGGTGTAAATAAATAAATGATTCATACGTCAGATACGAAAGAAAAGGTATGAATACTCGTAGTAGATTTATGAAGTTTATCCAATTGCACACTCGCTTCGATAGGAATTTACGAAATGAAACTGCATGCCTTCACACCAACACTGATTGGTTTCCAGCATTCCCGAGTCTTGAATGCCACTTTATTGTCAGTAAAACTATCGAAAAAATGGCAATTGTATTCGTTCATGAGAAAATAAGCTTTGTCTGAATATTGTTCGTGTCAATTTTGCGAGTACGATCTCCGAAAAACGCTTGATGTTTGTGTAAAATAAAAAATACCCAAAGTAATAGACAGATTAAAACAATATTTACACTTAGTTCTCCTAGTTTTCGCTTCTGTCAACACTCCCGGAGTGCCACTGTTTTTATTTTACACAGAGTGAGTGAGGTTGTTGGAGCGCAAACCCCCTCCTCTTAATTGTGGTGGAGGTTCAAGGGATGGCAAAGCACTTGTGACTCCTGAGTGACAAATATCCACGGGTAACACTTACCATCAGGTGATCCGTTCGCTAGTTTGCCTCCTATGCCATAAAGTAAAGAAAAAATTGCCTAGTAATAATTAAAAGTGATATTTTTACTGCTATTAAAGGGTTAATATTAAAAATATTAGATAATTTTTGTGATTCTTAACAAAAAAAGACAATGCACATTTTTTTTTATTTTAAGTCAATATAGATTCGAAATTTAAAATCTCTGAATCCAAAACCTTGTTTTCAATGTTGAATTCTAGGGTTTAAAAATAGAATCTGTCGCTACTGTTTGATGTTGGCACGTGAAGGTTTACCTACAGCTGTACTAACATTTTCCATTCATAGTTTTTTTTTTTCCTTCGGATAGTAGTGTTTTTTTTTTTAAAGTTCTCTTTCTTACTAAACCTAACGTTTTAATTGTACTCTGGGTGGATAAGTCTATTACTTCATTCTTGTGATTGTTAGACAAATGAAGAAAAAAAAAGTTGACTTAAAAATAATTCTTTTCACGGAGATAATGATTATTAATTAATTTAAGGACTTTTAAGAAGGACAAGGCTTCAAATAAGACCGAGGTAATAATTGTCTAATTTAACTTTGAACAAATCGGATTGATGAAAATTAAAATATTCAGCTTTACTTTTACTATATAAAGAGGTATTTTCTTAAAATGAAACTTTAAATAAAACCAAAAAAAATATCTGAACATGTTTTAAAAGGCCTTATAAGGGATCTTGGATTTCTTAAGAATACTGCTAATATTTAAAATAGAAATAAACTAATAAACATGTACGTTACCAAGTTCAGTGAACAGAGGCAAAATGACTAGAAGAATTATTAAAAGAATTTTCTTTTGATATTCCTTCCAGTCAAGAGGATTTCC